CAGAAAATGTGATTGTATTAAGTTAATGTCCGATATTTACAGGCTCCCGCTAGACGGCGTACTCGAGCGTTGCGATCGCGAATAGCAGTACAGGAAAATACCTTTAAATTGGGGATAAAAAAATATTTATAGAAAAACAATATCTTTATGACTTTTATTAATTTCATGCTGATTACAACCAAAACAATTTTGAAAATGAATGAGGGAAAACTGGATCCTACCACGTGATTATCCTACCAATGAAAACGTACCGATAATAATGGAAAACTTCGACACAATCTTTATAAATAGTTAGAAATTTTCCGTTTAATTTTGAAAGTTTCATCTAACTATTGATATTCCTGCGTTCCTAATGTAAACAAGTTTGTGTAAATATTAATGTAAACAATTGTAGCTCTAACGTAAACAAATGTAACGTAATGTATTGGAAAAATTAAGTAAATAAATAAAAAAATATGCTCAAAATTTTAGAAATGAATAATATTTATTCTAATGCCTCGAATTAAAACACAAACAGCGTGAAATTCTTTTAATAATAATATGAAGAAAAAAAACTAACATTTAAAATAGCATAATTTTTAATTGATTTATCACAATTCATTTCAATTTTTTTTACAAAAATAAATTGTTGTTTTACATAAAATACACAATATATTTATGCATAAATATTTCACAATCACTCACTTGAAGAACTAAGTGGATGAACTGTTTTAGTGACATTTTAGTAGAATGAGTAAAATTAACGCACTGTATAGTATTAACATTTATGATAAAAGAAAAACAATTTTAAAAAAAACATAATTTTGGTTAATAAAACCTAAGTAAGCAATATTCAAACCATTTTTGGGTAATTTTTCAGCTCGTATGGTAAAGGTTTACCGGATATTCGATTCTTTATTCGCTATTCCATTCTGTATTACCACACATTCAGTAAAAAATTCAAAACTGAAAAGTAAATTTAACCAAAGAATGGTTTTTATGCCATGCTCTAAGGCCCAAATGGTGTTCCGCGGAATCCTAGGGTTCCGTTTAAGAATAAAAGTAGTTCCGCGAGATAATGGTTTTTATAAACATCGATGAATTTTGAAATCTCCGATTATACTTCGATGTAACGTATAATTCATAATTTATTTAATCTTACGGTTGCCTTAATGAAATTATTTCAAGTAATATGCCAATGAAATGGAAATGGCATATACTAAAAGAAAATATAACAGTTCCATTAACAATATATTGAACAAAAAATTCAATGGTGTTCAGCGGAACCCTAGGGTTCAGCTGAAGATTGAATTGTAATTTAGTATTTTTAATGATAAAACGTTCGTTCCTTTACCTAAATAATTTTAAAATGGGTTTTTTTGTAGGTTATAACATTCACAATCACCTTACTTAATACTTAAAGTCGGGGTTCCTACAAAATAAGGTTGATTATTTAGGGTTCCGTAGAATTTCATTACATATTATAAAACCATATTTTATTGTTTATTTTATCAGAATCATTACCAAAGCGTTACTGTAAGAAATATGTACCGAATTTCTCGGTGATCCTATAAAACCAGAAACACGGTATATTCCTTCAAATTCTGGAAGATTTGACCATACTTTTTTTTTTCAGTGTACAAACTCGCCGCAAAGAATTATCGCGGCTTTAAAACGGACAAATAACTTCAGAATTTTAAAAGCCATTATACTTTTTTTTTTAAAAAAAATCTCTAATTTTGCAAGATTTTTTTTCTAAGTGAACGCAACGTTAGATATAACGTTTTTAAACTTGTGCATTTCAACAAACAAAAAAAATCTGTAAAACAAATCTACATCTTTAGGAGCAAAACTAATTTCTGATTTAAAATCCCTCACCCGATTTATTTGAGATCAAGTATTTGTATAAATACAACAAAAAATGTGTTAAAAAGCGTTATTAAATGTGTCTAAAGTAACAGCTTTTCCCGATAAATCTCAATTTTTTTTTTCCAAAAATGTGACTTACAGTTTATCCAATCTGCTCTTCATTGATTATTAACGATAAATAAATGTAATTCATCATACATTTTTTTTTCATAAGCATTAATAAATGATTCTACAATTGCACAAGGCAGAGATCTAATTAATACAGATAATTAAAATATATACAATTCATAAATAAAACAAATAATATGATGCACATGTCAGTGTGATGTAAACAGAGTCAAGTATGATATAGGAATTACAGTTGTGCAATTAATTCATGATTTTAAGTATCCCATTATTAAAATTTGAAATAATGTACATTGCAGTGACTGTTGCTGACTTATCCTCAAAAAAAATCAAACATTTGCATTAAATAATTTAACAAAATAATCAGTAAACGTGTATGAACATGAATAAAACAAAGAAACTTTTGTTATAAAAAAAAAGCTGTATCATAACACATGAAGAACACTATTTCTTAAAAACTTATTCAAGCTCTCTTAGAAACCATACATTAATTTAAAACAAAGGCATAACATTTCATGAAACATAATTTATGTTTTTAAATAGAAATCTTCCGAAGTCCAATTTACATTTATAAAATGTCATGTATATGAATAAAGACTAGAGAAAGAAGCCAGCTCCTAACATAATAATCAAGAGATTTTGCATAGCGTTTGTCTTACGTTAATATAAATGCTAACTTTATTTATACCCCTTAGAAACACTGTGATTTGTCGGAAAATTTTCACTCATGCGCAGTGAAGCTCAAATAGCGTTAGCATTTGAATTACGGGGAAACGTAACGCTAAGCAAAATCTCTATAATAACGAATGAATATCTATGAAATGTAACACATTAACTGCTGAATACAGCAGTCATTTACTGAAAAAGAAAAATATTTCCACATTTTGACATTGAGATTTTATTGATAAAATTTAATAGTTCTAGATTATTTAATATTTTTTATTATTTATTTTGCCTAACTTATTTCTTTACTTTTTTATTCATTAACTTATTTATTTTTTAATTGCAGTTATTAAAGATACTTCTGAGAGTAAGTCACGACGATTCACGCAGGTCTTTTAAGTCATAGTTGTTTTCATACAATTGGGTATATGCAGCTCCAGCCAATTGGTTGTGTAAAAACAAGATGGCGTATTTACGTTACAACTATCAGATTTGGTTTATCACCACACAAAATCAATTTTAATTTGGCGCTTGCAAGTGACGTCAATCGTGGGTGTTAAAACTGATTGGCTGCTGAATCATTTAAGCCCTGGTGCATCAGCCTATCAGTTTCGACACAAAATCCTGACGTCACTTGAAGATACCCAATTATAATAACTTCTTTCAGTGAACTTTTGGAACAATTCTAGCACCAAACCAACAATTTAACCATTGAAGAGTTCATTAGAATGTTGTCAGATAAATAAAGTCGTTACAATTCTTTTATAGATTTGGAGTCATTCTGATGAACATTTAAGTTTTGAAAATTATCCCCAATATCCGATGATCTTACATTTTTATAAATAACAAAGCAAGTTGTAACAATTTTAAAGCATAAAAAGTTCTCCAGTTTAAAGCAACAGCAAAACTAAAGCTAGTTTTGGACCGATTCTAGCGCCACACCAACAATTCCGCCATTGAATAACTAGTGAAAATAACGTTAGATAAAAGAAGTCATTACACTTTTTTTACACGTCATTCTGACGTACATTTCAGTTTCAAAACTTATCACCTGCACCCAAATTTTTAACATTTATGTTTAACCCACCAGAACAACAATAAAAGACGCGCGTAGGTGAAGGCAATAAGATTTTTAGAATGATCAAAGCTATAAGCTTGTAAAAAGTGTGCCATTTTTTCCTCCAGATTATACAACAAAACTTGATATGAAATGCTATGAATACCACTTGTTATGAACATTTGTACTGAAATTCTCTTATTTCAAATGAAAAAAAAACATATGTGTTAGCAGAATGAAAAATACAAAAAAAAAATGACAAGCTTTAGATACATCTAAATAAAAGAATAATGAGAATTAAATAACAAAGCTGGTATTATTAATAAGGTAAATCACAAATGTCCATGATCACGCATACTCAGGTCTTAGGTTTGTAAAATATTAGCTGTAATTTCTGGATTTTTTTCTTTACCAAATGTTCCACTGTCACGAATTAGGCCAATGATATTTGGCGTTGTCGTCTACCATGATTTTCCATAGAAGTTTTGGTGGACGAGGGTCTCTACCTGCCACCGGTTCGCCAACAACTTGCCATATGAGTCGCGCCAATCTTTGGCTGGTTGGTTCTGCTTGGCAATCACCACGCAAAAGAGGAAGAAATTTTGGTTCATTGTTCAGGATTGGAATTGCATGACCACAAAAACTCATACTGAAAATACACGCATAAATTTAGACTTATTTTATACCTAAGGGATGTATCCAAAGAAAATATTGCATACTGAACTAATGCTGAGAATACCATAAACTGAACTATTGAAGTAAAAGATTATTGTTTCTAATAACTCTTAGACAAGCCAAGTTTGCCAGATATTGGCCTTTTTCCGAATTAAGTCAAGAAGGCGCGCCTTTTGTTAGACAAGAGAGCACCGCAAAGGTGAAAGTTCGTCTTAGATAAGAGCCCCAAGAATGAATGGTGGCACCACTCATTCGTGAGTATTAGTACCAAGTAATTATTAAATTAGTACCAAGCATGCTTGGAGACTAGACAATGGGGGCTCCACGTTCGGCTGATCACCCAACCGGAAACTCTACTCCTGCACCCCAGAGCCTAAGTTCAAGATGGGCACAGTAGGGCTTTGGCCCTTTATGGACTGTCACGCCACTGTGCTTAATTTAGTATATATAAGAGAATAATGGATACTGAACTCACACTGAAAGTATCTGTATAAATTTAGACCAATTTTAAATTAATGAAATATATCATTAACAAAATACGTAATACTAAATTGATACGGAGAGTACTGAATACTTATCAGTATCAGTACTTTAAAATTGGTAGCAAAACATTTCATTTTTAGCTTGTTACGAGAAAAAAACAATTATTTTTCGAGATAGGAAACAATTCCGTATATATTTAATACCGATTAATCAGTCATGGTTATCACACGTATTTTACACTTCCCGAAAACCAGCTAGAAATGAAATAATCTTACCACCATTTTTTTTAATCACATTTCAGGGTAAGGCAACCTACGGGAGTTTTTCTCAATACCACGGATCAGTACAAATTATTTATTTTATAATAATTAATTATTTATTTTTCAAATTATTTGCAAATTATTTACTTATATAAATGTGTAATATCTTTTGAATGATGTCCAAAATTTAAGTTAATTCATTCATTTACTCATTTGTTTCGATAAAAGCAAAATAACGTATTCGAATCGAAAATATCACCTCGAAACAAAAGCAAAAATAAACCGCCAATAGCTGTCTAACTGGAACTTCAGTGAATCTTATTTCCGGCAGTTTATTTATGCTAATAATTGCATTGAAATTATCACCCACTGATATGATTAAAATTCATTTCTTGAATATGCATTTTCTTGGAGCTACTCTCACAAGGAGGCAGTTAGCAATAGCACTGCATGCTTGTTGCTTTAAAACCTTGCTGTCTGCAATAAACTCACGATTCTCCAGTACTTCGTGAACCGAGCGTGCGTAGAGAAATACACCGAAGAGCCATTACATTATGACCACCCTCCATCTATAACAATGGGCTCACCCACTGTTTTCATGGTTTCTCGCCCAGGAACAATGTTTTCATGGGGCACATTAGGACCCATAATCCTCATAGAACAATCCCTGACGTCTGTAAGCTACTTGAACATAGTTGCAGAAAAGTTTCAGCCATTCATGGCAACAGTTTTTCCTGTGGGGGATGGTGTTTACCAACAGGATAATCGTCATAAGGGTCGAATCGTCATGGATTGGTTCGAGGAACATTCCAGTGACTTTCAAGTCATGTCTTGGCCCCCAAATTCACATGACCTTAATCCAATAGTGCATTTGTGGTCCTACTTGGAAAACCAAATTCGTGGTGCCACGCTACCTCCTCGCAATGTGAGGGAATTTCTGGACCAGCTGGTGAGCGCTTGGTACCAGATACCTCAGACTACCTATCAGCACCTTGTGGAATCAATGCCACGGCGGGTGCTAGCAGTTTTAAGGGCTAAAGGTGGTCCTACATGTTATTAACAGGGTGGTCATAATGTAATGGCTTTTCGGTGAATAATTAACACTATTAATTATTAATATTTTTTTTGAAGCGCCATAAAATAAAAATTCTTACGTATTTCCGTTGCTGTTATGTATGAGAATTTTGTCTATATCCCAACGATCCAATCCAGTATATATCCATCCTCTGTATTTCGTGTACTTGATGATCAGAGCAGTGACATTTCGAACACTTGGATCTGCAACAATTAGACCTTGTATGTCTTGTTTGTCACTGATTTCTTGACTCTCACTGGAAAATTATGGTACATTGTATTAAAAACTATTTGAAGGGCTATGGGTGATGAAATCGAAAGGTGATAGGCGGGAAAAAGAGCACCTGAAAATAACAGAAAAAAGACCGATTCTATTCAGGCCGTTGTTCCCGAAATTAAAGTAATTAAATAATTATTCGAGCGTATCTAGATGTTTCTTTTAAAATTAAATCAAGTACAGTGCACCAAAAGAAAACGGAACCACTCTAAATAACTTTTGATATAATGATCGGATCTTCACATTTTTGGACTCAATCTCACTTCGAGGGAGATTTGCTAACTATAATTAGTCCCCATTAGACACCTGCCCCATCTTGTGTCAAAAGGTTTACAAAGAATTAAACGAGAAAAAACGAAAAGAATTAAAGAGAACAATTTTTATTCCAAAGAAAAATAGGAAAACTTTAAATGAAAAAGTTGTTATATTTTTTCTAAGACACTACAACAGAAAAAAAAGAAGAAGAAAAAGCATACACATTCTTTTTGTGATATAAAATCAGCATTGTTACGATGGAAAAATAAACATTTATTGCAATACAGATGGCAGCACTGCAACTTTAATCAGGAGATGGAGAAAATATATAATTTTTAAAAAAATAGAAAAAATCTGCCATTAAGTGCAATTTACCACGAAAACATTTTATATTTTAAAATCTTGTACATAATTTTGTAAATTAGTATATAAGGCAAATTTGGAATTTATTTGATGAAAACAGTAAATTAGCAAGTAATTTTAAAAAAGTAAGAAAAAAATCAAAGTATTATACAGAACAATTGTTAATCCAGAGAGACATTTTAAAAATATTATACAAAAAGCATTTTTCCAAGATAACGGCATTGCAACAGAAAAAGAATTAAAAACAGATATGTATCACTTGATTAAAAACTTCATTCTGTTTAAAAATGATATAAATTGGATTTTAGAAGATAAAGAACTGATGGGAAAAAATAAATAATTTTAAAAAAATAATCTGCCATTAAATACAATTCACCATTAAAGAATTCCATACTCCAAATCTGGTACATAATCTTGTAAATCACCATTTAAGTCAGATTTAGAATTTATTTGATGAAAACTATAAATTAAAAAGCATTTTAAAGAAATAAGAAAAAAATTAGAGTATTATGGAGAACGATTATTTATCCAGAGAGAAATTTTAAAAAAAAGTATACAAAAAGTTGTTAGATTTTTTCAAGATAACGGCACTACAGCAGAAAAAGAACTAAAAACAGATATGCATCATTTGTTTAAAAATTTCATTTGCTTCAAAAATTATGCAGCTGGATTTTTAAGGCAAACGAAGCTTTGAGTCAGGTATACATTACAGTTTCAGTTTCTTGGGATTATTTATTTAAAATAAACAGATATACTCTCTTCTTAAAAAGCGAAAAGAAGCTCGTGTGAAATCTAGCATAAAAAAGAACAGTTTATATCGAAAGAAATAATGATTTGGCAATCATGGGGGGAAAAAATTTATTTTATTTGTTTTTCTTAATGAACGTAATTTTAAAAACGAGATTTATATATTACTTGTTGACCCAGGCTATTAAATAAAAGTTTTTTTTTCTTTTTTTTTGTAAAAAATATATTCATAATTTTATTTATGAATCTATTATTACCACATAACTGTCTTTTTTTCTGCCAAGATCCTATTTTTGTGAATATGTGAAAATAAAAGCATGCATTAGTGATAAAAAAAAAGTTAATACCACGTCTTTCAAGGAGAATTTTTGAGAGAATTTAAAATTATGAATTAAAGCCGTCATCGGTTCCAATTTCTAAAAAAAAGAATTTTGTGGAGGTTTCATTTTTAAAAATGAAAAATTTAGGAAGAGTTTGTTTTTTAAAATAAACATTTTTGTAAGGGGTTCGTTTAATATTTGTTTATTAAGTTAGACAGGAATAGGCAAGATAAAATATTTAGTAACGCCCTAAAATGTGATCAAACTTAACTGCGCGTACTACTTTACACAGCAATAGATGGCGCCACTAATATTTTAATAAAAAAGATTTCCACCGATAAAATTTATAATAATTTTTAAAGGTTAAGGTAAGCATATGTATCAAATAAATAAATAAATGAAAAATTACTTGAAAGAGAACAAAAACATTCTTCATTTTTTTTAGTAAAAGCAAAAGAATATATTAGAAAAATTTATGTCAGATTTCATAAAATGTAAAGGAAATTACTAAATTATTGTAAAAATTCTTTCCTCTTTATCAACAAATAAATACGCAATAAATTCAAAATAACTTGTACATGTTAGCAAGTGCAAAATTAATTAGTTATTTGTTTTTGATCAATTGAAGATTTCTTACTATTTATCTTTCAGTTTTATCAATAACATTTAGTTTCAATATCTTACTTATCAATTCACAATTAATAAGTATAAAATTCAATAGAGTAGTTTATCATATTGTGAAAAAGAATATAGACAAGAATTTTAGTGGCGCCATCTATCGCTTCTAACTACACTTTCCACTTTCAAGTTTCCACTTAAGTTGAACCATAGCATGGTGCAATCAAGTATAGGAAATACGCTAAATTGGTTGATTTAAGCACCATATTGGTTGTGCAGGAAATAAGCACCTTATCATGGTTCAACTTTCCTTAAAATTTATAACAGTGTAATTATTAATATTTGTTTTCCCCCTGATTTATAGTCAACTTGAATACGAAGTCTATCTATATAGTTGTTACTACATTATTACGTCATCAATTTCAGTTTTTAAAAAAAATAACAATTTCATTATTTTATCTTCATGTAAGAAGCATCATTTTCAAATGTACAAAAAACAACTAAATTTACCTGGTAAGGACAAAAGTTTCATTACTATTATCATCTCCCAAAAATGACAATTCCAATTTACCCCATGTTGTTCCTTGTCCTCTAGTACTTGATATAGATATTCTGTACTGATTTGCTAAAATTAATAAATAAATATTAAAAAAATGATGTTTTATTTTCGGGAAAGAAATGAAAAATATATTCCTTATTTGATACTATTCAAAATATTTCTTATAGTTGAAAAATTGAATGAAAAAAAATTTTCAATTCAATTTCTTGAAAATAAATATTTTGCTTATTCATTAAAATGTAAGCATGATATTTTTTCTGTGAGTACAGTGGTTAAATCTTTAATTCAGTTCAACCATTTTGTTTCAATTTTAAAATTAATTTTATATGATTGCACCACCTTACACTGACATAAAATTTTAGTAAACCAGTGTTTTTGAAATACAATAAATAATCAATCAAGAAACTGATAAAATATATACATTTAAAAAAAAAAAAGACTGTGTCCGGCTATGTTGGTTGGGATATCTGATATTTATATAATATTTTTGGGAAACTAATGAAAAATATATTTCTTATTTGACACTATTCAGAATAAAAAAAAAAGGCTGAGTCCGACTATATTGGATGAGCTGCCAACCATTCTCTATTCACAAACGCTATCCTATTACTGCACGGTGCGGGAGCTTTTGCCTGCTCCGTTTCCGACCTGGGCCGGTTCACTCCGCCTTAGACGACCTGGTAACTCCGGACTCCTCCGGTTCCACCATATCGACATCGTGCTTAATGCGGACGCCTGATCAACATAGGCGAGCGGAGGACAGAACTCCCAACCTCAAGCCGTTCAACTGCCTAGACCTCCAAGCAGCTGGATTACAAGACCACGCCACAGCTCCCGGTCGAAAGAACTAACGTTTCAGAAGCTTCAAAAACTAAAGTTGTCCAGGAGATCCTCTCCAATTAATGCTGTCCGCTTATGAAAACTGGAATTATTTCAATGATATCTGATATTATTAAAATATTGCTAGATATGTGTTATTATTAAAACATTATCAGTGCACATGCATTTTTTTCTGTTCTTTTCGAAAACTTCTCCGCATTGTTTTAGAATAAATATAGATAGGTGTCCTAAATTCTTTAAAGAACCTCATTGCCTACAAACAATGGAACATTTTATTTAGGGGAAGCTACTAATAAGTACTAAGCAACGAGGTTCTTTAATGAATTTGGGACACCTACCTATATCTTTTATAAAGCAGTGCGGTGAAGCTTACAGGAAGAACTGAAGTGTTGGTGCCAGGCAGTAAAAATAAGCATCTAATAATTATTTTATAAGCATAAGAGGAGGGAAACAAAAGAAATGTTTCCCTCTGTACTAAAAATATTACTGCTAAAGTATCGGACCTTTACGGTCAATTTTTTCTCACGCTAAAATCGTTTATGACGAGCCGTGATAGCTCGGGGGGATAGAGCTTTTGCCTTCCAATGAGGTGAACCAGGCTCGAATCCCAGTGATGGCTGGTTCTTACGAATTCCACATTCGGCTTACATCGCCCACTGTGCAGACGTAATATATCTTCAGTGGTAGACGGATCATGGGTTAGAGTCCTCTTGCCTTCAGACTAACCATGGGTGGTTTTCTCTCCATGTAGCACAAATGCGAGTTAGTTCCATTAAAAAGTCCTCCACGGAGGCAAATTTTTCTCAATATTTGATCCAGGCGTTCCCTAGTCTTCTGGATTGGGTCCAACATTACAAGGCTACGGAGTTGAACATTGGTAGTTGTAAACCCGAAATTGGGACGGCCGTTCAATGACGGTTACAAAATAAAATAAAATATAAGTATAAGATAACTCCCTTGAAACTACTCCAGTACTACTAACGACTACATAGCAGAATGTAACAGAAACTACATAACAGATGGCAGTACTTGGATAGCTTATGGCTTTAAAAAAAAAACTAAGTGTCTGTTTGGTCGAGCTGGACCGATGCTGTCACGTGGTGGAGCGAGTTCGGCAGCGAAAGTGTTAAGCGCGATTTGTTTATGGTGAAACTAAATTAATCCAACGCTACCAAGTCGTCAAAGTATGCTTTTTCATTATACGACACGAGGCAAGATACGATCTTTCTTTCATTATACGATCTCCTGAAAGAGAGAAGGCATCAGCACGGATTACCATAAACAAGAAATTCGATCGTTTAGTAGTCCGAATTTAATGACATCTTTCATATTTCCCCCCACTGCAAAGCTTAGTAGCCTGGACGTACTGACTTCTTTCTCATTCTTCCTCCACTGTACAGTTTATGTTGGTTATGTCGGACTACTAAATTGATAAGTGCTGGGACCTGCTCTCTTTTACGAAGTGTTGCACGAGGCCGATCAAATCGGGTGAAGACGTAACGTTACAATTCTATCATTGTTGGATGGGAGAACTGTTGATATTTCATTCGTCCAAAATCATTTGCTTAAGCCAGAAAAGACAAGAGTACTGCTGATAGTAATAAAGGGTAATTTTTTAAAACTGAATCAATATTAAAAACTTATATGGAGAATTTGAGGAAGTGGAATATAATAAAACGATTTTCTTACCTATTTTTCAAGAAAAAAATATTTAATCAATACTAATTTTTATTTATTTATTCATTATTATTTTTTGTACAGTAATGAGTAAAGTCAGAATTATCTTTAGAGTCATGATTATAAATATCGAAGTTTTACTTCTGATAACTTCCGTCGTAGTTTACAAATGGAAAATTTTTTTTAGATACGTTGCATGTTTTTACAATAATTTTGAGCATAACAAACATTTAAAGGACGATTTTAATCATGTAATTATTTTCTTAAATACAGGATTTTAACTTCAATTAAAAAGATTCAATATAATTCAAAATAATAATAATTATCAGCACTAATATCGAAATTTTAATTTAAGTTACATTCATGAAATTTCGATTCATGCGTTGAATTCTATATAAAATTAATTTCAACTCACTAATTAGCTTAATTTGTACAATGATTAATATTTCCTATGCTTAAATGAAATTGATATTTAGGGTAATATCTTGTTTGAAAATTATCGTTAATGCTTGTGACATTATCGTATTTTCGATGCATATCACAAGACACGGCATTCAAGATATATCTGGAGAGTTGATTTTATAATTTCGATATCGCGATGTTAAAAACATCTATGTTTCACAGTTTAGGTCATATGTTTAAAATAATTCTAAAATGTATACTTTAATCTTAAACTAGAATATACGTACGAAAACACTTCAACTAGACATTAAAATTCATATGCAAAGTGTTTAAAGTTTCCGAGACGTTCTTGTTGTATACCGAGACCGGTGCCGTCATCTTGTAATCCAGCTACATAGAGGACTAGGCTGTTGGACGGCTTGAAATTGGAAGTTGTGTCCTCTATTCGCCGGCTATGTTGATCTGGCGTCACGTTAAGCGCGATGTCGATAAGGTAGAACCGCGGTAGTCTGGAGATACCAGGTCGTCTAAGGCTACAGAACCAGCCTAGGTCGGAAACGCAGTAGGTAAAAACTCCCGCACCGTGCAATTAAGGGATAGCGCGTGTGGATAGATAGTGGTTGGAAACCCATTCCACATAGTCGTTTTTGTTAAAAGGCTGGTTTGAATTAAAAAGTTTTTTGTCAGTGTAAATTGGTATAGCTATATACATAATCAATATTTAAATTGAAACAAAATAGTAGAATAAATGGTCGAACTAAAATTTATTCACAGAAGGAATACCATGCCTAAATTTAAATGAAATCAAAATTTAGTTTAAATAAAAATCAAAGATAAAAACTCACCGCAAAATGGTTCAGTGTCTCTGGTGACTAAATAGTATTTTCCTCGTGCGTGTTGATACCTATCTGCGTAATAGCCCATGTTTACACATCCTTGTGTTCCACATTTAAAACATTTTCCAGCAAGGAAGTTTTCGTAGCTGTCACATGGAAAAGCAGGGAATTTGCAGCTGGGTACAATAGAATCAATGAAGAAACGAAAAGCCCTACGATGATTGCACAAACTTTGCCATTTTCCATCTATAAAAGGTACAATTTTATTAAATAAAGTTAAAAAATAATAATAAGTATAATTAAAAATAAGTGAATTAGTTTTTTCTAACAAATTAAATTTTTAGCTTGCAAGGGAGACTAGGGAAGTGTGACTCGCCGATTTTGAAATAAACTAGTGGGATGTATGCCTTATGAGGAATAATTTTAGGGGGCAACATTCGTTTCGGCCCATAGAGGGTGCAATGAGAGATAAAAAATAATTCAACGTAAGGAAAAATCGGTATTTTATTACTTCAATGCAGACTATTAGTTATTGTAATTATCTCATACTCCAATTAATTTTGTGGTACTTTCACGTACTATATAATGCATATTTATTGTCAAAATTGATTTCGAAAAATTTATATATCTGTAGTTTTTCAGAAAAACCTGTTAGGTTAATTTTAAAAAAAAATTGGCATGAAACTTTTTTTTTTTAATTTTCTAAATTAATTTGGAATATGTAATTGCAAATTAATTAATTAGGAAATTAATCAATTAACCAATTAATTGCAAATTAATTGGAGTATGAGATAATTGCAATAACTAATAGTCTGCATTGAAGTAATAAAATACCGATTTTTCTATATATTGAATTATTTTTTATATCTCATAGAGCCTTCTATGGGCCGAAACGAATGTTGCCCCCTAAAATTATTCCTCATAAGGCATACATCCCACTAGTTTATTTCAAAATTGGCGAGTCACACTTCCCTAGTCTCCCTTGTGAGAAGCAACTTTTTCTTTCTTTTTAAGGAACCTTTCAAAATAACAAATCAATTTATAAAAATGCAGGAAGACGATGAATGTAGATATTGTTGGATTCGAATAGTGTTTCCTGCCGGGGTATGTTCTGATTTGAGTAATTTTAATGAGATTTAATAAAGGAATATATTTCTTAAGAAGCTCATTTATTAACGCGTTACGTTATTCGAAAGCCAAAATTATAGACATACAAATTTGATTATAGACCTACAAATTTGATCAAATATGCTCCAGCGTAGTTAGAGATATGAATCTGTTGAATTAATTTTTAACAAAATATCATCCCATCAACGAAACTAGGTAAAATTTAGTAGAAAAAGTCTCAACTCGCCACATTTCAGTATATCTATTGAACAGCATACGCACCATTTTGAAAACCATAAACTATGCAATTTACAGTTCTTTTTAAGTAAACAGTTTACATAATGTGAAATAAAGTGAGTCACAACAATAATATTATTTATGTATAAAAAAGATTTAATTTTATTAGAAAATTGTTAAAGTTTCTTATAGGAAAAATAATCCTTTGACATAGGGAAACCATGGGTTACAATTGATGACCTCCTTTCCCTTGATAATATGATTTTAATGAGTTTAGAAAATGGACTACTGATGTCATGTTCTCAACTGACAGCTCTTAAGTTCACACATGATGTATCCGGTAACAATTTGACAACTGGGCGAAGAGAACTAATAGGCAAACGGACTCAAACAACCTTTATTCATCACTTTATTTAAATAACACAAAATTTTATATAAAATGCCTCTTTATTCCAGTTAATTTGCTGTGAACCTTTTAAACTGTTGCCAAAATTCAACTGAAGTTCCGAATGCTTCAGTTTTTAGAACATTTACTACCATTTTATGAAATCTTTTGAGTAACATTTGGCGTCCCTGAAATCAAATATATCTAAAATAAGATCTCGTTTTCAATTTTTTCAAAAGAACCTTCATCTACTAAGCTCCTTAAAATATGTTTCACATTATCGTACTTACAAATAATGTCAGTTACAGCCCCGATAAAGACGTTGTTGCAACCAATCTGAACCCTTCCTCCATTGGGATAGAAGTCAGCATGCCCAGAAGGTTCGAACATTCCGAGACCACCCTTCATGATGCTATTCCCATTCGAATGAATGACATCAACAAAAGTTGCATCACTAGGATCTAGTTTGATTTTCGGATCATACCCTTCGAAAAGAGGAGAAGCTGGATCTAATCCTGGAAAAAATTTAAAAATTTTAAAATCCAAAAAAAATATATATATACATTTTTAAACTTTATTCTGGAAGATATCAATATAGATAAGAATAAAAACAGAAACTGCATGAAGAAAGAAAAAAATTCATAAATTACTTAAACTAATTTACAGATTTACAAAATACAATAATTATTTCTCACGATTATTCTGGGGTGTTCTTTGTTTTTTGTTGTAAAAATGTCAGTTTCTCAACATGTGTTTACTTAGCCGAAAGGACATATACAGATGTATAAATTTCGATATTGTTGTAGACATTTACAGATGTATAAACTTCGATATTGTTATGGACATTTACAGATCTACAAATTTCAATATTGTTGTAAACATTACAGATGTATAAATTTCGATATTGTTGTAAACATTTGCAGATGTATAAAATTCAATAATTTTTAGTACTGCTAAGCCAAAAAGGCAATTTGTTATTAAAAAATAGGTATTTAAGATATAAAACTCAAACAAGCCCAATAACTACAGGTACAGGACAAAATAATAGGAACACTTGTATATTAACTCTATGAAAAAAATCATTCGATTAGCAGAAAATGTGTTACAAGACTTTACGTGGCAAAACTGTTGACAAAATTGGCATGGGTAAAAAGAGCACCATTTCTAAAATCTTCAAGCATGATCTTTTAAATTGTGCCAACAGTTTTAGCAATTAAAATTTTGAGATAAGAGAAAGATAGTTTGCATTGAGTTAGCATAGAAGTGTGCACATTGTTTTGTCTTGTGCTTGAGTATGTTCTTAAACATCTTTGAGCCTTATACTCACCTGTGATACGACTAATATTTCTGCATTCCATTCCAGTAAAACCAGCCACATGAGCTCCAAGAGAAAATCCAATGAGGTGATAGTCTTGATTTGAGAGTCCTCTTTCATAATTAATCATACGAATCAGAGCTGCTAGCTGTTTCCCCACAAGCTGAGTATTTGCAGCAGCTTGGACATAATTAGGCAAAGACGAACCTTTTTCCCAATCTACCACAATGACGTTCACATCTTCCTAAAAGAAATCATTAGTTTCAGATTTTCCAGAACTAAAATTTTACCATGTACACTAGTAGACTTTGAAATCACTCTACCATGTTAACTGAAAANGTTTTTACCGGTTATAACCAGTTTCTGCCACTGGCATGGCAAAAACCAGTTTCTGCCGGCAAAAAGCCAACCCTGCTTGAAATGTACTTAAAATTTATGAAAACTGCTTGTACTGCTTTGTACTGCTTGGCCAAAAGGAAACATACAAATCTATACATTTCAATTTTGTTCTAGACATTTACAGATGTATAAACATTGATATTATTAGGGACATAAAATTCAAACGTGCTTCAAGTACTGCTTGGCCAAAAAGGCAATTTGTTATTAAAAAATAGGTAATTAAGATGTAAAGCTCAAACAAGCCCAATAACTACAGAAACAGGAAAAATAATATGAACACTTTTATATTAACTCTACGAAAAAAATCATTCTATTTGCAGAAAATGTTTTACAAAATTTTACGTGACAAATCTGTTGTCACAATTTGCATGCGTAAAAAGGACACCATTCCTAAAATCTTCAAGCAGGATCTTTTAAATTGTACCAACAGTTTTAGCATTTAAAATTTCGAGATAAGAGAAATATAGTTTGCATAAAGTTAGCATAGAATTGTGCACATTATTTTGTCCTGTGCTTGTGTATGTTTTAAACATCTTTGAGCCTCATACTCACCTGTGATGCGACTAATATTTCTGCATTCCATTCCAGTAAAACCAGCCACATGAGCTCCAAGAGAAAATCCAATGAGGTGATAGTCTTGATTTGAGAGCCCTCGTTCATAATTAATCATACGAATCAGAGCTGCTAGCTGTTTCCCCACAAGCTGAGTATTTGCAGCAGCTTGGACATAATTAGGCAAAGACGAACCTTTTTCCCAATCTACCACAATGACGTTCACATCTTCCTGAAAGAAATCATTAGTTTCAGATTTTCCAGAACAAAAATTTTACCATGTACACTAGTAGACTTTGAAATCACTCTACCATGTTAACTGAAAACTCGGAGCAATTTAATGGCAAGATTTATTTTTAAATTGTTCAAGTGATCGTTTTCAAAAGGTTTTTTCGGTTAAAAGCACCATGATTTTCATGGGGCAATAAAATATCTATTTATAGTTTTCTGTTATCCAGTGGAAATTCCAGAAGAATGTAAAACTATTTGGAAATGATACTAAGAAACATTTTAATCTCGGTCTTTTGATAGTTCTGAAAAAAGTGTAGCTTGTCACTATTATCCACAAATTCTTGAATTGCTCAGGCGGGAGAGGAGTATATAGTTACTTAAACTCGAGTGAAGTTTGGTTTAATTGCCAACTGCCACGCCTCGATAGCTCTATTCAATTTTCACAGAGTGATCACAGAGCTCATATATATTTTTGTTAAAAGAAACACAAAATTAAAACACAAAAGTCAATGTTTCATCCGTTTCTGCTAAATAGTTTCCTCCTGTGTTCTTGTGGTATTTGGTGTCGCAAATGTCGGTATCCCATTCAATCTGCAGCAACTTCAGAATATTTGGTCGCTTTCTTACTAGCTAGCGTCTAGACATCTCCCTAGTTAAAGATATTATACAGGGTGTTTCATGATTATTGGAACAAATTTTAAAGGGAGATCGTTACAAGGATCCAGATTTGCATAGCAACCCATGGACATAAATCTTTTCGCTCGCCGCTAGGAGGTGTTGTTCACGATAGTTTTGGTGAAAACAAACTTGGATTGCTGCAATCATTTGAGCTATCATCACCCGAAAAAGCATATGCAACGTTTTCTGAACACCGAACTAGCAGATATGCACGAGATGTACGAATCGACTGAGGGAAATTTACCAGCAGCAGAAAGATTGTATCGCGAAAGGTACCCACAGAGAGATGCACCAGACCACCGGATGTTTATTTGAAATCAAAATTTGTGAGAATATGGATCATTATAAGGTAATACCCATAGTGAAGGCGGCCACGAGTGACTCGTGCTCCCAGCATGGAACAAAATATGTTGAATACCGTTCGAAGGAATCCGAGTGCCAGCGTACGAGTCGTCGCTGCTCTCGTAGGAGGTTCTCGGAGTAGTGTCCATCGTGTTTTGCAGCTTGAAAGCGTACACCCATACCATCCTTAAAGAGTACCATCAATGGTCCCCAGAAATCATCTCGCGCAGGTGCGCTTTACACATTGGTATCTCTACCATTATCGATAAGGCGCGAATTTCCCATCCTACGTTTTATTTACGGAAGATGGGTACCTATCGCTAGATGATATGTTCAACCACTGCATTTATGAGCTTGCGTGAGACCACATGCCCCCTAACATTAAATTTTGGTGCTGGTGTGGTCGGTGGCTTCTTAGTCGGGCCTTACTTGTTGCCATCACTTCTAACATCTGCAAATTATCACATCTTTTTTCAAGAAATACTACTAAGCTTACTTGACCCTGTTCCACAACTTGTCAGACACCATACGTGGTTTTAACAATATGAGTACCTCCCCATAATGGAAAATGTGTTCGTGAACATTCGAATTAAGTGTTTAGTCACCGATGGATTAAGCGTGGCCAGCCGGTTCCCTTGCCATCACGATCACTTGATTTAAGCAGCATGGATTTCTTTCGTTCATGTGTAATGAAAAGTGCTGCGTACGCAACACCTGTGAATTCCATAATGTATCTGGTTGCAAGAGTCGTCTGTGCTGCTGGGAGTATCCAACAACATCCAAGTGTCAGGTGATCTCAGTTTTGTGTCTCTTTGTTCCTTGTACCTGTCATACTACTTTTCCATGACGTTTCCATCCATGGGTCACTATGTATTTCTTAATCCTTGTATTATGTCCTCCACCTTCCCTTAAAGTTTGTCATAATAATCCTGGGACACCCTGCATATAAGTCGTACTTTCTGAGTATGAGTTCCAAATATTTAAACTTTGGAACCTGCCGTAAATTTTGAAATTGATACAAGACTTGAACTTGCACGCATCATGATCTCTAGTGCTAAATAGATAGTCTCATTGACATCGGGCTGGGAGTAGGGGTCATCCGCAGTACGCTCCTCTATCAACATGAAATATGGGTTAGTTTTACCCTAAAATTACGCTTCGCGAAGTTGAGTTTCACCCGGTAATTTATTTGTCCCCAAAAATTTATTCTTAAAATCCCTCGTAGCTGTTATTGCTTGTTTGTGTTTCACCCTGCCTCATGTTCCAGCCTGTAAGCGTATTCTTTGCTGTTATTAGCAAGATAAGGTTAGTGAAGAAGTGGGCTACATGAGCCAGTGTTACATGATTGGGGTAATTTGTAGGCAGAATAGTTGGAGAATTTAGTAACATTGGATGTTTGGAGAGAGTAATAATGCAAGATAAAATAATTATAAATGATTAATAGTACTGAAAAATTAGAATAATTGGTAACACAAAATGTGATAATGATAAATGGTTTGAAGTGATTAGTAATACTAGATCAATGAGATAAGTGAAGAAATTCTAAGTAATTGAAATTCCAGATGAGCTAATGTTGGATAAATTAATAAAATACGACTATATACGTTATAACAAACATAAGTATTCTAAGAGAGTCGGCGAATTTGCCGACTGGTGAACCATGTGTACTTGAGAAAAATACTCACCATTGCTAGAAGAGCCTCTGCCATTTGAAGAACCCACATTCTTCTTCCACTGCTTCCGAATCCGTGGATGATTATCTTCACCGGGTTGCTTCCATTAAAATGAGAATAATACAATGATGAGCTATTATCGTACCACAAGAGTTCACCATTCATGCGGCTTTTATTGGTATAGAGAATGAATTTAGTACCGATGGATTCTGGTGACGCAGGCAAAGTATCCAAATAATCAAAAGCTCCTAAAAAGAAACAAAAATATAATCCCAGATTTTATCCTCAAAACAATTTCAAATCAACCCATTACCACCGAACGTTCCAGCTAAGACTTAGTAATAACTGCAATTATAATAATTATCATAATTATAATGATTATTATAATTATAATGATTATTATAACTATAATAATGACTAGAAATAATCACTAATTACAAGGACATTAACTAAAAAGGAAATTATTGCGCTACCAGTTTTTAGGAAGAAAAAAACTGTCAGGTTTTCTAGTCAAGTGGTAATAGGTTACAAACATTCTAGCTAAGAGTTAGTAATAACTGTAATTATAATAGTTATAATAATTATTGAAATTATTATAATAAAATTTATTATTATAATATTATAATGATTATTATAATTATAATGATTATAATAATGACTGGAAATAATTATTAATCACAAGGACATTAACTAGAAATGAAATTATTGTGCTACCAATTTTTAGATGTTAGGAAGGAAAAAAACTGTCAAGTCTTTTAGTCAAGGGGTAATAGGTTAAAAATATAAACTATATTTTTGAAAAATATCGAAAACGAAGAACAATTATTTAAACATTTACGATATATCTAAAATTAGAATAAGTCCATTTTTAGAAGAAAAAAATTTGTTAATAGAAATTTTAGTAATCTATTGATATCCTCTTTTTATATTTATAATCATTCACTCTATAGAACACGTTACGTTTTGTGGTTAAGATGTGAAGACTCAAATGTGTTTTTGTTAAAAATCTTATCGCTATTATTTTAAAAATGGAATAAATCCATTTCTAATAACAAAATTTAAAAAAACTTTCTATTTGATTTCTCAAATTACTGCATGCTTTGAAAATAATCACTCATTCGACAACACTGTCTAAGAATAAGCGATAATGTTATGCGAGTTTCATTTTCATATTTCGCACTAATTCATATTTCTAAGTAATTTATCTGACTTGTTTAGCATTCTATCACAAATCCTAGTGTTTGATTCATGCTTTCTATGCTAATCAATTCGTATTGTTCATATAATACAATTGTTATAAAGACAAATAATGAAAAAAAGAACAAAAAAATATCAACAAGATTACTATGTTGCAACTGAATAAAACATCAAAACCTATAATAAGACAGAAATATAGCAATAGAATAGAATACAGCAATAGAATGCAGCAACAGAATTGAGAAATACAGCTAACTGCTTTGAATACCACCTATTTACCATGAATACCATGAACTATATTTACATATTTACATTTAATTAATAATATTTACATTAAAAAAATGCATCTCAGTTAGGCCAATTTGTATAAAAATATTCAAATATCTTTTCTCTTGTTTTCATTTCTAATAAAATGTTATTGTTTAAAGTGAAAAAAATCTTTAACAGCTAAAAAAACAGTTTATTTTTTTTTAAAACTGGCCATTAAAATTTCTACAAGTAGGCCTTTCTGGAGAAGCATTTTTAATAGCCAATAAAGAATAATAACCTGACTTACATCTATTACTTCAAATAGTATCCTTGCTATATTCTAGAACAGTGGTTTCCAACTTACATGAGGCCCAGGACCTCAATTAAAAACACCAGTAAATGGCGGGCCGCAACTTTATACATGACTCTTATGTTGGAAGGGACATTAAATATTACTGCCAGATTTTTATCAAGTTGTACAAGACAAAAGTATTGAATTACAAATTAAAATAAGAAGTAAATTTTTTAAAATATTTAATTACATATTAAAAAATTCTGGCTACAATAACTTTAATGTCCACATATGTATTAAACCAGGGGTCGCCAAACTTTTTTGATCATCGACCCCTATATAATTTTTCGAAATCTCCATCGACCCCCACAAAAGTAATTTTTTGTTCATTAAAATAAAACTCTATTAGATACTGTGTTTGTACATTTATTTTATGATTTTAAACATTTATTAAAGTAATAGTACATTGTGTAACAATAGTTTTATGAAAAATATATTAATATTGAAATTTAAATACCTTATTATTAAATAATAAGTAATTATGCATAAGTAGATATAATAAGTAAAGTAACTAAAGATTTACTGCTTCTTGATCAATGAGATGGGTGTGCCTGGTGTTTTTTTGCAAGGTTCGCTATATTGGGTTCAAAATTGGTCAATTTTAATTTTCGTCAAAATTGGTCAATTTTGTAATTTTCGTAAAAAAATACAAAGTGTGCTATAGTTTTGTCGCGGGCTGTACTAATCCATATTATTAATGCTTACCTTCTTTTTTGTGCATTGATAATTAAAATTGATATCTAAACCAAACGAATGGTTTTATCGAAACAATAACTAATTATCCAAAACTATAAAAGTTTTAATAATGACACTGCAAATATTCAACACAGTTTGCAAAGATAGCTGAAACTGCGTATGATATTTGCATTTGTAACGTCAATGCTCGTCACACGTGACATTTGGACAAGCGCACATATGCATATGACTTATACACTGCACTGAGTTCGTGCCGCTGCGCGGTGGTACGTAAATACTTGTTTCACCCCAATAAATATACGTTTATTAATTCATGTTTTATAAAGAAACTAATATTGAGTCAATTATAAAAAAAAATCACAAATTTTACATACTTAATTAGGTATGTGTGATTTGCGTATTGAGAACTGTTTTTTTTTCCGAACCACAATCGACCCTTCCGATTCGGATCGACCCCCATTCGCCCCCCTGTCTCAGATCAACCCCCGCTTTTGTTAAATAAACCCCTGGGGGTCTATATAGACCACTTTGGCGACCTCTGTATTAAACAATTAATGTGCAACAGATATAAAATTTTAAGTTATAAAACTTGTGAGTATTTAATACCCATATAGATTTTTTACGAAAATTGTTCGCAAAAAAATAGCAACTAATATATTTTAGATCGCGGGACACAAAAAAAGTCTTCACGGGCCGCCAGTTGGTAACCACTGTTTTAGAACATGCTGTTATAGGTACAAAAATTATGGGAGTCCATTTCCTCATTTCTTAGAAAGTCTTCCAGTTAGTTCAAGACTAAGACGCTTCTTTTTTATTCATAAACGCCGTGACAACATGTCCACAAAACATTATTTTAGGAAGATCTATTCAAGAGCGATTTCGTGAGAACTTAAAAATACCTTCATGATTAGAAAGTCTTATATGAATAGTGTGCCAACACCACTTGTTGAAAAAATTAGATTTCAAGTTCATACAAGTTCTTTCTATTATATTTTAAAACTGGTATACGTCTAACTTGTTTTTGGACGACAGGGGAGGTACTTTAAGATGGGGCAACGATAGAGTTTTCAGCGATCAATAGATTTATACGCTTAGTATCTCAAAATGATCCCAAGTGGCTGCTTGAAGCCCACCCAGCGTCAGATCTATGGGTACCAGTTGTGGTTAAGGCACTGAACTGTCATTGTGAACTAGGATTAGATCCCTACTCAATTTTAAATCGATGGGTAACAGCTTTTCTGGGAATTAAATGCGGCCTGTGAGCAGTGCTGACCACATAACCACAATCATGCCGTTGGTCACAAAATTGTGAAGCCTTATCCTTCATGACCCCCTGGCTGTTGCAGGAATGCTTTTTTTTAAATCTCAAAATGAGCAAGTGTCCGCTGTTCATATAAGGCCTTCATTTATTTGAATAAGAAGTTGTTCGTTAGAAATGCAATTTAAATAGAGTAATAAAGGTGTCAGGAATTGGTAATAACTTACGTAGGTAAATGGTATGTACAAACATATTCAAGTACATCTGCAGTGTTAGTAGATAATGTTCTTATAGATGAATAATACACTGTCCATAGGTACATTTCATTTTATGTACGGCGTTGAGTAGCCAATCCATTTCTGGGTCGGCTGTTCAACCCCGTGACCATGTAATTTATACCCAATCCTGTATAAAAGGGGATTCTTGGATCAAACAAGGGTCAAACTAACCTTCGTGGAATACACGTGTCCACATCTCCTAAAGTGGAAAACCGCGAAAGAAGTCCGCGGTTAACCCGAAGGGAAGGGAATTCTAATCCATGATCCGTCTATCCCTAGAAATATTATAAGTGAGCACTGTTGTTGTCGTGAAGCAGAACTTCATCGCTGGAATTCGAACCTGGATCCCCTAATTATGAGGAGAGCGCTCTATCCCCTGAGTCATGGGTATAAGCATCTGCTTCTAGATAAATTAATCAAAAAGAATATTATATAGTTATAGGAATAATTATAGATTTGCAAATAATACCTTCATCTCGGAAACAGCCAAAACCTCGATAACAAACGACTTCTTCGGACCTTTTGTGGACATGTGATTTGTGCGCTTTCTTGTTCTTCTTCATTTGTTCCCAGCGTTGCATGGATGAAACGATGGCAGACCACACTTCGTAGTCGTTGGGTTCTTCTTCGGGGGGTAGACCATGAAGAGGACTTACAGATGGCCATGGTGAATTTATAAGTGTTTGATAGGATGGTATTCCAATGGGTGTGGATGTTGCGGTGTTTCTTTCAGCAAAGGATGTTTCGGAAAAAAATGTGACTGAAAAATTAAAAAAAAAATCATTTTTGAATGATTTTTTTTATTTTTATAACTCAATTACTTTTTCATGAGAGGATTTAATATCATAATTTAATATTATCTGTTTAGTTTCATTGAATCTCCGACTGCATTTCATTTGCAGTAACATATTCAACTCTTTTTAACCATGTGCCCATTTTTATATATCACATTTAATTATGATACAATTTTCAGCTAGTTTTTTTATCTATCTCTTTTATCTTTGTAAATTGACCCTTTTTTTACCAAAATTTTATTGAAAATATTCTATTTAATATATTTTTCTATAATTTTAGTTACATGAAAAAATATTTTGCAATTATTTTTTTGAAGCTGCTTTTCTTGTAACGTGTCTGATATGTTACATATTATTATGCTTATGATTATGTTGATGCTACATATCTAATCTATTTTCATCGCAGCCCATGCATTTTTTAAAAAAGAGAAATATGTACAATACCTTTTCGTTTTAAAATTTTTTTAACTACCGTACGAAGACTAGTTAGCCTTTTAACGCAAATGGGACACCGGTGTCTTTTAAATACATTTTTTCTGAAGCTCTAATTATATATTTTGGTATTTTTTAATTATAAAAACAGTCTAATCGTGCCAAAAAAAATAGTAAGTAAATTTTTCGGAATTATATTTGTACTAAAATATAAAATCCATCCAAAATAATTAATTCGAAAAAAAATTTTATTCCAAGATTATTTACTCATTTTATTCAAAAATTAATCAATAATTGATTTTGTAAATTAAATAAATTTCAAAGATGAATTTTTTTTCACTGAAATCTAAATAACTGCAAATGAGTGAATTATTATTTGGAAGGGAGACGTGTTTGGAAGATTTTACCTCGCAGAAAAAGACACCGATGTTTCAAGTATTTCATAACCATAAATTATTAAGATGCAAAATATATTTTTCACTTATTTTGGCCTAAATTATTATAAAATAATGATAAAAAAGTATGAAAACTATGCTTGATAAAATAGGCTAAGGGATAAAGTGAGTTTCATGAAAAATGCAAAAGAAAAAAAAAGTTATCTGTTTTTTGTTTTTAAATTAAATGTGATACATTTTCACCTATCACACACTTTTCCTCTCAATAGCAATCCTTTAAACGTGATGTATATTTTTAAGCATATTTACAATGTACTCTATTCTAAACACTACGTTTCACCTATGGCGGTTACAAAAACAGTACGCAGTTAACTAAGGAGCAAAAAAGTTAGAATTCGATATCATTTCTAAACACCAAAACAAATGTCTTATATGATAAATGTGACAGCAGTTTTCAACCTAACAAGTATAAGAACAACATAATGGTAAATAAGTTTCACAAACTAAATTTCAAGTAAAATAAAAGACGCCTTTATTAAAATATAAAATTACGTAACATTAATCACAAAACGCATTAGTGATTAAATCTGCGTCATAAAAATAAAGAAGCAAAAAATTCTTGACGTTACACATTGGAAACACTGAACCATTCTTTTCTAATTGACGCAATACGAATTACAAAACAATGTAACATATACGTCTTTTTACATATTCAAGTTACGCATTTTGTGACGCCAATTCAGTTAATACGTTCATTCACACAATTCAGCGTCATTTAAAGTAAACATGTTTATTTCAACGAAAACTTTATTAAAATAAACTATTTAAGTTCTGTAGAAAAATTTTTGATTTAGCACACTTTTCTAAGTAAGGATAATTTATTATATATTTGTTTTAATTTATGAGAATATTTTATTTGAATAGTTAAGAGTGGTAATAAATTTGATTCAATATTTTATTATGGATTTAATAAATTTAATTTTGTCCACGACTACATAAAAACAACTTACACTTATATATAAATCCTGTAAAGAATGCCAACAACAACGATTTTTGCAAAATATTTTATCGAGAAGTCGACAAGTAAAAACTAAAACTTTCAGAACGCTTGGAAATTTTAGTGACATTTTAAAAGCGTCACCACGAGAGAATATAGCAAAGCAACAACTACGCTTTTTGCAAAATATTTTATCGAGAAGTCGACTGGTAAAAACTAAAACTTTCAGAATGATTGGAAATTTTAGTGACATTTTAAAAGCGTCACCACGAGGGTATACAGCAAACTAGCTCTTATATGAACTTTTGAAAAATTTACATGTAGTGGTGAAGAAAATAACTTTAAATCAAATTTACAAAACAAAGAATCATATGAACTAAAAGATAAAATTAGCTACCACTGGAAGATATTTCCCCCAAAAACGTGGAAAGTTGGCAGGCCTAATAGCTGTGCCGAGAAGTTTTTAAATGGAGGCAAAATTCAACACATTAAGTTTACTTAAAATTGTTATTTGGCTACTGCGTTAAATATAGAGCGTTCGCTTTCCAATGAGGTGAACCGGTTTCGGATCCCTGCTATGGCACTCGGCTCGCACCGACCACAGTGGTGACGTAAAATATCCTCATTGGTAGACGGATTATGGGTTAGAGTTCCCTTGCCGTCAGGCTAATCGTGGGAGGTTTTCCTCTCCATGTTACGCAAATGCAGGTTAGTTCCATCAAAACAGGCTCCACGAAGGGAAATTTCTCCCAGAACTTAATCCAGAAGTTCATTTGTCTGCTGGATTGGGTTCAAATTACAAGGCAACAGGGTGGAACATTTGCAGTCGTAATACCAAAATTGGGTCGACTGTTCAATGACGGTAATAAAATAAAATACAGGGTGTTTATAAAGTCCCGGACCCATTTTGATGTTTAATAACTCATAAAATAATAAGGATAGATTAAAATTAATTACATAAATGGTGATATAGACTCAAAAAGTTTCATGACCCTTGTCAATGAACTTCCACGTGTGCCCCCTTCGTCGCACGGAGAATATCAAGTCGATAGTCAATTTCACGCCAGGTAGCGGCAAGCATGTCGGCATCCACAGAGGCTATTGCTGTTGTAATTCTGGCTTTTAAGTCATCAATGTTCGACAATATCCTCCTGTAAACATTGTCCTTTATAAATCCCCAAAGAAAAAAGTCCAGCGGCGTTATATCAGGTGATCTGGGTGGNATTTGTACTAAAAACTTTTTCTGCGAAATATAATGTATAACATATGTTCTTTGTTTTCGGTTATTTAATTGATTTGTATTTTTAAATCTGATTATTTTAATTAAATTATTATTCAATTAAACCCGAGAAAAAGTCTATTTTGCGGAATATTTAGTATTGATTCAAATTTTAGAGTCGAAAGGAAGATGGAGCTGACCGTACTTAAGAAACCATGACACATTTAGAAATCTTTTTCTTACTTTCAAAGAAAAAGTGTTACGTTAAGTGAAATTTGTACTAAAAACTTTTTCTGCGAAATATAATGTATAACATATGTTCTTTGTTTTCGGTTATTTAATTGATTTGTATTTTTAAATCTGATTATTTTAATTAAATTATTATTCAATTAAACCCGAGAAAAAGTCTATTTTGCGGAATATTTAGTATTGATTCAAATTTTAGAGTCGAAAGGAAGATGGAGCTGACCGTACTTAAGAAACCATGACACATTTAGAAATCTTTTTCTTACTTTCAAAGAAAAAGTGTTACGTTAAGTGAAATTTGTACTAAAAACTTTTTCTGCGAAATATAATGTATAACATATGTTCTTTGTTTTCGGTTATTTAATTGATTTGTATTTTTAAATCTGATTATTTTAATTAAATTATTATTCAATTAAACCCGAGAAAAAGTCTATTTTGCGGAATATTTAGTATTGATTCAAATTTTAGAGTCGAAAGGAAGATGGAGCTGACCGTACTTAAGAAACCATGACACATTTAGAAATCTTTTTCTTACTTTCAAAGAAAAAGTGTTACGTTAAGTGAAATTTGTACTAAAAACTTTTTCTGCGAAATATAATGTATAACATATGTTCTTTGTTTTCGGTTATTTAATTGATTTGTATTTTTAAATCTGATTATTTTAATTAAATTATTATTCAATTAAACCCGAGAAAAAGTCTATTTTGCGGAATATTTAGTATTGATTCAAATTTTAGAGTCGAAAGGAAGATGGAGCTGACCGTACTTAAGAAACCATGACACATTTAGAAATCTTTTTCTTACTTTCAAAGAAAAAGTGTTACGTTAAGTGAAATTTGTACTAAAAACTTTTTCTGCGAAATATAATGTATAACATATGTTCTTTGTTTTCGGTTATTTAATTGATTTGTATTTTTAAATCTGATTATTTTAATTAAATTATTATTCAATTAAACCCGAGAAAAAGTCTATTTTGCGGAATATTTAGTATTGATTCAAATTTTAGAGTCGAAAGGAAGATGGAGCTGACCGTACTTAAGAAACCATGACACATTTAGAAATCTTTTTCTTACTTTCAAAGAAAAAGTGTTACGTTAAGTGAAATTTGTACTAAAAACTTTTTCTGCGAAATATAATGTATAACATATGTTCTTTGTTTTCGGTTATTTAATTGATTTGTATTTTTAAATCTGATTATTTTAATTAAATTATTATTCAATTAAACCCGAGAAAAAGTCTATTTTGCGGAATATTTAGTATTGATTCAAATTTTAGAGTCGAAAGGAAGATGGAGCTGACCGTACTTAAGAAACCATGACACATTTAGAAATCTTTTTCTTACTTTCAAAGAAAAAGTGTTACGTTAAGTGAAATTTGTACTAAAAACTTTTTCTGCGAAATATAATGTATAACATATGTTCTTTGTTTTCGGTTATTTAATTGATTTGTATTTTTAAATCTGATTATTTTAATTAAATTATTATTCAATTAAACCCGAGAAAAAGTCTATTTTGCGGAATATTTAGTATTGATTCAAATTTTAGAGTCGAAAGGAAGATGGAGCTGACCGTACTTAAGAAACCATGACACATTTAGAAATCTTTTTCTTACTTTCAAAGAAAAAGTGTTACGTTAAGTGAAATTTGTACTAAAAACTTTTTCTGCGAAATATAATGTATAACAT